GCCACCATGCCCAGCTAATTTTTTGTATTTTTAGTAGAGACGGGGTTTCACCATGTTGACCAGGATGGTCTCGATCTCTTGACCTTGTGATCCACCCGCCTCGGCCTCCCAAAGTGCTAGGATTACAGGCTTGAGCCACCGCGCCCGGCAATTAATATTCTTTATATAGATTATTATTAAGATTGTATAATACCCTCCTTGAGTGGGTGGTGAGTTCTTGCTCTATTAGTCTCATGAGAACCAGCTGTTAAAATGAGCCTGGCAGCCAGCATGGTAGCTCACACCTGAAATCTCAGAACTTCGGGAGGCTGAGGTAGCAGGATCGCTGGAGACCAGCAGTTCAAAACCAGCCTGGGCAACATAGAGAGACCCTGTCTTTACCAAAAATAAAACCAAAAAACTCCACCCAGGGCAGAGTGTACATGTCTGTAGTTCTGGCTACTTGGAGGCTGAGGTGAGAGGGTCGCTGATTGTACCACTGCAGTCCTGCACTCCAGCCTGGGCGAAAGTGAGACCCTGCCTTAAAAAAAAAAAAAAGAGCCAGGGCATCTCCCCTCTCCTCTGTCTTGCTTCCCCCCTCGCCACATGATCCCTGCACAGCTGGCTCTCCCAGAGAGTGGAAGCAGCCTGAGGCCCTCACTAGATGCAGATGCCCAACCTTGAACTTCTCCAGATATCAGAATCATCAGCCAAGTAAGCCTTTGTTTTTTGTTTTGTTTTGAGACCCAGGCTGGAGTGCAATGCCATGATCTTACCTCACTGCAACCTCTGCCTCCCAGGTTTGAGCAATTCTCCTGCCTCAGTCTCCTGAGTAGCTGGGACTACAGGCATGTGCCACCACACCTGGCTAATTTTTGTATTTTTTGTAGAGACAGGGTTTCAGTATGTTGGCCATGTTGGTCTTGAACTCTGGACCTCGGCCTCCCAAAGTGCTGGGATTACAGGCATGACCCACTAGGCCTGGCCAATAACTCTTTTTGAATTTATAAATTACTCAGCCTCTGATATTCCCTTATAGAAACACTAAGTGGACTAAGACAACAACCTACCACAGTGCCGGACATATGGCAGGTGCTCAGAAAAGTGCTGGGTAGGCTGGGCGCAGTGGCTCATACCTGTAATCCTGGCACTTTGGGAGGCCGAGGTGGGTGTATCACCTGAGGTCAGGAGTTCGAGAGCAGCCTGGCCAACATGGTGAAACCCTGTCTCTACTAAAAATACTAAAAATTAGCTGGGTGCGGTGGGTGTGCCTGTGATCCAGCTACTTGGGAGCATGAGGCAAGATAATTGCTTGAACCCAGGAGACAGAGGTTGCAGTGAGCCGAGAGTATGTGCTGCGGGAATGCTGGGGTAGTTAAGTGCCCAGCTCTGAAGGCACAGACCCTTGAATCCTCCTCCTGCATCTTCCTTCCTGGGCCCCTCTCTAAGCCTCAAGGCCCTCATCCGTAAAAGAGGGGGGATCAGTGACGGCTCCCACCTCAGAGGCCATGGGGAGTTGTGAAGATGAACTTTACAAGGGTGGATGTACAACACTCAGCATAGCCTAAGGCCCCCAACAAGCACCCAGTAAACGGCAAGGACGACTAGTAGGAAACTAGAAGTCCGGTCACCTATCTCCCAGGAAGGAGCCTGGTATCCTGAGCGAGAACAGCCCCTAGAAAGGCTCCCTGCTGGCGGGTGGGCTTGGTGAGGGCTGGGATGAGCCCTCCTTCCTGACAGATCCCTGGCTCCCCTCCACCCCAGGGCCGTGTTCACAAACCCTCTCCAGCCCTGCTGCCTCTTCCCTCAGGCCACACACACAGGATCTCGGGGATTCTTTATTGAATCAAAAACTCAGGGCATCAGGCCCCAGCAGCTGCATTAGAATCCACCTGGGATTGTGAGGGGACGGGAGGGGGAGTGGGGAGAAGACCCACTCTCCCCAGCTTTTCACTACAGGGCCTAAAAGCATCAGAAGTCACCCCAAGAGAAAGGACGTACGAAATGCCCACCAGAAGGGCGGGGGAGTGAAAGCCACCCTGAGGGCAGGAGGGTGTGGTGAAGGGTGCTGGGGTCGCGACATTTATGTGTTCCCCCCGCCACCAACCGGCAAATTCACATGTTGGAATCCTCACCCACAAGGTGATAGTATTAGGTGGTGGAGCCTTTGGAGCTGATTGGGTCACAGGGGTGGAGCCCTCATCAATGGGATTAGTGTCCTTATAAAAGAGGCAGGAGGGAGCTCGCTTGTTTTTGCTTCCACCATGTGAGGATACAGCGAGAAGGCACCATCTATGGATCGGGAAACAGCCCTCAGTAGACTCTCAATTTGCTGGCCCCTTGATCTTGGACGTCCCAGCCCCCAGAGCCGTGAGCAATACGTTTCTGTTGTTCAGAAGCCCACCCGGCTTATGGCATTTTGTTATAGGAGCCCGCTGGACTACGAGTGGGGCCAGGCAGGCTCTGTCAGTGCGAATGTAAAGGTTAGCATCTTACCTTCACGAGGCAAGTGGCTCAGAACAAGGCTATAACACCTCCCCTGCAGAAATGTGGGGGTGCCAGGCACAGCTGGGGTGGAAGGCTCTTAATCCAGACCCTTGCTTCACCAGCCCCACTTGGGGAGGAAGGCTTTGGGGGAGGCAGAACTGGGAGAAGAGAGAAGTGGCCCCCTGGCTCTGCTTTCAGAAGGCTGTTACCTGAGCCAGCTGCTGGGAGACCAGAGGGGCAGGTGCCACTCAGGGCCAGAGGAGCCACGCAAGTAAATGTGGTGTCAGGGACCGGGGGAGGATGCTAAGTGACCCTGCTTAACCTCTAAGAGAAGCGTGGTTCCCTTGTGCTCAAAAGCTGGACACACAGGGTGCAGATGGGCACTTTCTCATGATCCACCTTGTTCCAGGCCACTGCCCAGCAGCCTTTGGGGATCTACTGGTCTCAGAGGGAACTTGCTCATTTCTTCCCTCCATCCAGCCCACACTTTCCTCCGAAGGAAGGCTGGTTTGTGGGCCCAGGGCGAGGCTGCCTGCCCACTGCAGATGGAAGGTTTCCCAACCCTGTCCAGGTGGCTGTGGTGGGGCCACCCCCCACATTGTGTACACTGCCCTTGCTGTCCCTTCAAGGTCGTTGCCCCTCCCCGTCCTCAGTGTGACGTGAGGTAGACAGGCCCTGGAGGTGGTGGGAAGAGGCCCCGCTCTCACCAGCGTGCTCCCTTGGGAAGGACAAAAGCTCAGAAATAGTAGAGGGAAGAGATGGGTTTGGCAACTTTCTGATATTACTTGTAAACACTGGTTCCCTCTCAACCACCGTATTCTGATTGGGTCTGTAAGTAGCACCCAGTCCACACCACAGCACGCCTCTGGGGTCTGGGAGACCGCCTTCACAGCTGTGCTGGCCCCGCCTGCGTACGGGCCTGGGGCTGGGCCATCCAGGGTGCCTGCGGAGCTCACACCCCCATGGCGCTCTTCTCGCCCTCTTTGGGGCTGGGCTCCTCCGGAGTCTTCTTCATCTCCCAGCCCCTGACCCAGGTGTAGGCGGAGGAGCCGCCCAGCACCATCATGTTGCTCGTCCACCAGAGGAAGCTCTTGGTGTCCTCGTAGTAGAGCACGGCCAGCACCGTCTGGGCACAGGCCTTGGCCGTGCCCGACACGTTGTGGGTCAGGGGACTGGTGAACTTGATCTGAAGTCCTGTCACATAGCCGATGGCGAAGCCAAACAGACCGCCCAGTGTCATCATCCCCCAGAAGTGGGCACTGCCCAGCTGGGCAAAGTCACGCAGGGCCTGAAGCTCCCCGAGCAGCAGGAGCAGGGGCAGGAAGAGGATGCAGGCGTTGGCGTTGTTGTAGAAGGTCAGGCGCCAGATGCTGCCGTCCACCGCTGGGAGCACCTTCTTGGTGTAGATGGCGTTCAGCGAGACGCAGAGGCTGGCCAGCACGCCGAAGAGAGTGCCCAGCCACGACAGGGTGCCCTCTGCCCCCTCCTGGTCCACACCAAGCCAGAAGCCCCCTGCAGTGGGGAGAGGAGGAGTAGGGGAAGGGCGGGAAAGAGGGAGAGGATGAGGAGGAAGAAGGACAGAGGATCTGACACTAAAGGTCACAGACTGAATCCTGCTGCCCTCCCCACGCTTCCCCAGGCCTCCCTCCAATAAACTCTGCACTGTAGGCAAAGCATTCTACAAGGACTCTGGGAGTGGCCCAGGGCAAGAAAACCTCCTCCAGGATACCTTCTAGCAGAGGACAAGGACATTAAAACAAATCGCTTCCCAGTTACTTCTTTAATTACAATTGTAAGAACTGTAATGAGTTCCATAAAGCAGTACAGGGTGCTGTGAGAACCCATAAGTGGGTGACTGTGCTGACCTGGGGCATCTGAAAGTAACATTTGAACGGAGTTCCAAAGGATGAGTGCCACTTAGTGACTTAAGGTGGCCCTGAGTAAATGATTTTCAGCGTCTAAGCTTGCATAGAATGGGAGCCTATGATGTCATCATGGGGAGCATTAAGTTAGAATCACTTGTGTCATTTGGGGCAATGATTCTGGGACTCTTGTGTCACCTCCTGCTCAAACAGCTTCTACGGCTCCCCACTTCTGCCATTGGGTCTATACTCCTTGGCATGCACCCTTGCCAGCCCTTCCTCTGTCCTGTGGTCGTCCCAGCCTCCCTGCTTCTAACTCTGGGCCTCAGTGTCTTTGCTCATGTCCTTTGCCAGAAACACCCTCCTCCTTTCTGGGAGATTCTACCCATCCGTCAAGGTCAAAGCTGGCCTCTCTAGGGGAATCCTTTCCTGATAGCTCCAGAACCTGGCCTCTTACTGCCTCACTTTCCTTCAAAGCCCCTAGCCTGCTCTGGGCTGCTAGGCCCCTAACTATGGTGACAGTCTGGTCTTTTCAGCCAGATCCCATGCTCCCAGAAGGCAGGGGCTGAATGATGCCCGTTATACTTCCTGCCACAGCATTCGGCAACACGGGGTAGTGGGGAAAGCTTTGGGGTCAGAGGGATTTGGCCTCCAATCATGCTCTGCAATTTAGAAGCTGAGTGGCCCGGGAGAAGTTACTTAACGTCTCTGAGCTCCAGTTTTCTTCATCTGTAAAGATCTGGGTCACCTTCCTAACCTCCACTCTAGCCAATCTACTCTCCGACTTGCAGCTGCAATGATCGTTCTAAAGTCCAGATCTGCCCAGGCCGTGCCTTGGCGTGAATTCTCTCTGTGGCTCTCCACTGCCTTCAGGAGAAATTCGACTTACTCACCACGGCTCTCTGGGCCTGCACCATGTGGAGGTTGCCTGACTAGGCAGCCTCGTGTCTGGTGAGTCTTGCTGTAGCCCAGCATGCACGTGCTCTTCCTTCTGTCCGTACTTCTTCCTCTAAACCCAGTTTCTAAACTTCCTCCAGAAGGCCTGCTTAGACTGCCCTGTCCCTGGGTCCCCTCCCACCCTCAAAGCTCCCGCAGCCCTTACCATACTAGTGTATCTGTCACCACCACGCCCTCCAGGAGTGTAGGAGCCGAAGTTACCTTTTCCAGTCTTGTATCCCCAAAGCCTGGCACAGTGCCTGGCATGTGTTTAGCCACTAGTTACTAGCTGTGGAATGAATGAATGAATGAATGAAAGTTGTTACGGAGGTGGCTGTATTAAAGGAGGCAGGATACCGCCTACATCATAGGCACTCAACATGCAGCACTCCTCTCTTTTTAATTTGTTTTTTGAGACAGAGTCTTTCTCTGTCACCCAGGCTGGAGTACAGTGGTGCGATCTTGGTTCACTACAGCCTCCACCTTCCGGGTTCAAGTGATTCTCGTGCCTCAGCCTCCTGAGCAGCTGGGATTACAGGTACGCACCACCATGCCTGGCTAATTTTTGTATTTTTAGTAGAGTCAGGGCTTCCCCATGTTGGCCAGGCTGGTCTCGAACTCCTGACTTCAGGTGATACGCCTGCCTCAGCCTCCCCAAGTCCTGAGATTATAGGCGTGAACCACCATGCCCAGCGCAACTACTGAGCCCAGCCCTTCTCTTTCTTGGCAGAACCTTTGCACAAGGGCTACCCACAGGCCTACTGGGGGGTGGAGTGAAGGGGGCAGAGGGCTGCACCACCCACTCATCTGCTTGGCTGGAGCACCCCCAGCCCTCCTGCTGGTTACCTTCTGAGTCTAGAAGCAAATGCAACCTCAATGTTCTAGATTCCAGAGTGACTCTCAGCCAGAGGGAACTTTCTTTTTTTTTTTTTTTTTTTTTTTTTTTTTTTTTTTTTTTTTTTTTTTTTTTTAGATGAGGTCTACCCTTATCACCCAGGCTGGAGTGCAATGGCACAATCTTGGCTCAATGTAACCTCTGTCTCCCGGGTTCAAGCAATTCTCCTGCCTCAGCCTCCTGAGTATTGAGGATTACAGGTACATGCCACCACGCCCAGCTAATTTTTTGTATTTTTAGTAGAGACAGGATTTCACCATGTTGGCTAGGCTGGTCTCGGACTCCTGACCTCAGGTGATCTATCTGCCTCATCCTCCCAGAGTGTTGGGATTACAGGCCTGAGCCACAGCGCCCAGCCCAGAAGCTTTGAAAGGTACTACGTGATGTGGGGAGGCTGCCTTCGGGAGAAATTCGACTCACTCACCACAGCTCTAGGGGAGGGGAGGCCTAGAATACTTGCCTGAGGCTCGTCTTCCCCCACAAGGAGAAAGAAAGAGGAAACACTGCCGATAGGGGACCAGGTCCTGAGCCAGCAGAGAGCTCCTACCTCCCTGGCCCCTGTCCCAGTCAGGCAGGCCAGTGAATGCAGCGTTCTCAGAAGCTACCTCACCATAAGCTACTTGGATTACTTCTGGGATTTGGGCCCAGTTACTCTAGTGACTTCACCTTCCTGCAAGCAAATTCTCCTACTGGGAGGCTCCACCCCCCCAGTCCATTCCTGGGAGGGTCAGCAGGAATGTAGTAGAGAGTCCTGGGGCATCTGAGGAGGACAGGGTGGAGGGGAGGTGCACCTGCTCCCCAGAGGTGGAAGTGGAAGCAGGCTGCCAGAGCTCTGGCAGGGAAGGGTCTTGGCTACTCTTTCCACTCTAACCATGACCTTCTCCCCTCTCTCCTCTTGGACCTAGACCCAGCAGCCCTAGATCCAGCAGTTGCTCAACAAGAAGAAACATTTTCTAGGACAGGTGGCCTGGGATGGGTCCCTTCCCCCACCAACTGATGCATCTGGCCTGGGACTCTGAGCCACCAGCAAAGAATATGATATGTAGGCCACATAATAAACTTTATGGCACCAGGGAAAACCTGTACAGGTTTGAATGAAGAATCCATTCCTAGATGACACAGCCCTGGGAAGACTCAGAGGGAATGGGATGCTGGAGGCTCTCTAACCCAGTATGGGGCCCAGTAAAATACGCAGTGCTGGCTATGTTCTATACCCTGTGCTGTCCAATACCATAGCCCTCAGCCACATGTGGCTGCTGAGCCCTTGCAATGTGGCTAGAGAATCAGGTTGTAACATCTGCAAACGAGGAAATGAATGTTTAACATTTTGCTGAGTTTTAATTAATTTAAATAAGTGGCCAATGGCTACTGTATTGAATGCTGAAGTTCTAACCTCCAAGAAGAGCAGAGTGGGGAGAAGGACAGACCTGGGAGTATGGCCAATCTGGGTTTGCATCCCAGCCTAGCTACTTGCTAGCTGTGTGGCCCTGGGCACGTAACATAACTTCTCTGAGCTTCTGTTTCCCTGTGTGTATGGAGGTGACCACTGGTAGTGATGCCACAGCCCAGGAGTCCTTTGGGAGAACAAAGGAGATGCTACATGTGAAATAATTAGCACAATTTCCCCATCAATAATAATTATTTTTTGGCTGGGCGCAGTGGCTCAAGCCTGTAATCCCAGCACTTTGGGAGGCCGAGGCGGGTGGATCACGAGGTCAAGAGATCGAGACCATCCTGGTCAACATGGTGAAACCCCGTCTCTACTAAAAAAACAAAAAAAAAGTAGCTGGGCATGGTGGCGCGTGCCTGTAATCCCAGCTACTAAGGAGGCTGAGGCAGGAGAATTGCCTGAACCCAGGAGGCGGAGGTTGCGGTGAGCCGAGATCGCGCCATTGTACTCCAGCCTGGGTAACAAGAGCGAAACTCCATCTCAAAAAAAAAAATAATAATAATAATTATTTTTTAAGGGTCAAGTCCGGGAAGACAGTGGAGGCGTCTCAAAGCGTATCGCTTGCTACTGTTCAGGTGCTATCCTGAGCTGGCAGAGAGTGCTGGTATGTTTATTAAAAGATGTATTGCCTTCTGCTGAGAGCACCAGATGGGAAATCAGGACACTTGAGCTCTTGAGAAACAACAGAGTACAGAGGTTGGGCGTGTGAAGTGTGAAGCCAGATTGCTTGAGTTCAGATCCCAGCTCTGCCACTTACTAGCTGGATGATCTCGGACAAATTACTTAACCTCTCTGTGTCTTGGTTTTTCCCTCTGTGAAACGTGAATTATAATCCCATCTTGTTACAAGGATTAGGTGAGTTAATATGGCTAAAATCTATGTGCATGGCACATTTTAATCACTCGACAAATGTCAGTTGCTTTTGCTGCTGTTGTTGCTGTTATTATTATTAGTGTTCTTGCCCTGGCTGGGCTCCTAACTTACTGGGTGACCTTTAGTAAGTGACTTGCTCTCTCTGTGCCCCGAGGCTCTTTCTCCTATGACTGCTGCACCAATGAAACTGGGACAGATGAAGTCCTAGGATGCCTAGAAGGGTTGTTGTTCAGGGTGTTAGTCCCCATGACCACTCTATCCCCCGCGGCCCCAGCTGCCACTCACCGATGATGATGCCGCAGGTGAGCAGGGCATAGAAGGAGGTGGTCTGCTTGAGGAGCAGGTAGGAGAGCAGCACGTTGAAGACGGTGGTGAGCGAGCGGCCCACATTGTAGAAGGCTACCCCGACGTACTTGAGGCAGAGGTTATTGAAGGTGATCATGCCGATGAAGACCACCGACAGGGGCAGGACGCTGCGGGCCACCCTAAGGTCCAGGCGCAGGCTGGGGAAGTCCACGGCACCAGGGCAGCAGGTGGCCAGTGCGCTGAGGCCCTTGCACAGCAGTGTGGTCACCAGGCACTGGTAGAAGGTGACGAAGATGGGGGTGTCCAGCTGCAGGGAGGGGCTGTCCAGCAAGTACTTATTAAGGAACACCATGGAGATGGAGGTGACCCAGTAGAGGGAAACCACCACCGCGATCTGCAAGGCCCGCAGCAAAAAGGGCTTCTCCCCGCTGGCCTCTGCCTCTGCAGAGGGGTCTGACGCCCCGGTCAGCGCCATGTGCAGGATCCTGGACCGCTTCAGAGGGGCCCTGTTCATGGTAGCAGAGGAGCTGGGTCACCCCGCGGCCAGAACTCTGATTCCCTGGAGTCCAGGGCAGTGAGCTCACTTGTGTTCTCTGCAAGCCGCAGCCCTCAATTGTCATATGGGGGCTGGCCTAGAGGCCTCCCCAGCGTCCTCATGGATAGAGAGCTTCTGCTCTGGGGTGAGCCCAGCTGTGCCGCCCCGCAACCTGCTCCCACCCCGAGGGGGCTCCTGAGACAAGACACAGGGCAAGGGGGAGGGATAGGCTAAGACGGTGAGGCCAGGACAGAGAAGACCTGTGAGGGGAGAGGAGGCTGGGGCCTAACAGGAAGGAGTCGCAGAGAGAAGGGAGGGGAGAGGAACGGCAGGACGGAGCAGGAAGAGGAACGCGGGGCGAAGGTGCAGGAAAAGGGCGCGGGGCCGAGGGTGAAGAGGTGCGGAGAGAGGGCGGCATGGGCTGCTGTGGAAGGGAGAGGGAGGTGTGCAGGGAGCAGCCGGAGGCCGGGCGCGGCTGGAGGGAGCGCTGGGAGGGGTCAGAGGGGCTGGGGGCTGGGGAGGGGTCAGAGGGGCTGGGGGCTGGGGACTGGGGAGGGGTCAGAGGGGCTGGGGGCTGCAGGACCCGGGAGGGGGCTGGGCCGGCGCCCACGCCGCGCCGCCTTCTCCCGCCCAGCCCGGGAGCCTCCGGACAGCCGAGGCCGCCTCCCCAAGAGGCGGGCCCAGGACTCACTTCCTGACACGCCCCCGGCCCCGCCTTAAAGGTCCCGCACGCCCCGCGCCGCCCTTAAAGCTACAGCCCCGGCGAGGCGGCGCTCGCCAGTTGCCATCCCGGTCCATGCTCTCCGCCGCCTGCTGCTGGCTGGGGGGAGACTTGGCTCCACCGAAGGTTTTTCTGGGTGCTAGAGCCTCGTCCCGCTTCCTGAGATGGGTCCATCACCCTCGCCCCCCCACCATCAGCTCCGTCTGCCCCGGAGCCTCCGTCCCGCAACTCGGCTCGGCTCTGGTCGGCCCGGCTCGGCTCGCAGGTCCACGTCCCGGAACCCTGACCCAGGACCGGGGCCGCGCTCCACAAGCCTGGACCCCGCCGCCTCCGGAGACACGCGTTGCAGCCCCGCGTCCCTCTGCCAGCCCGAGCTCACTCTTCCACAGCAATTTTGGGGTCCCTCCTTTCCCCCATTTTCACCGCCCCCAGGCCCCCTCCTGAGTCCGAGACCCCCGCAGCGCTCCCAGAGGCCGGAGGCCACGTCGCCGCTCTTGGACTTCAGTTGTCTTCCCTGTGCCCCTACCGAGACCTGGGCGGCCCGGATCCAAGCATCCAAAGGCTCAAGGCAGCATCTCTTACCCTTTCCAGAAAATACTGTTGCCTCGCCCGGCCCAGCCGTCAGCTCCGGCGCCCCGGCCTGCGTCCCTGGGCCGCGAAGGCGACCTGGCGCTCACCTCCTCCGGGGTGCACTGGGCGCCCGCCCCGCCACCCCGCGCTGCACCTGCAGCGCCGCACCCTGGGCCGCGCCCGCGGGGTCGACTTCCTGCTTTCCGCCCCGGGCCCGGGCGCCTTGCCAGCCTCGCCGGCCTGCTCAGGGCATAGGGCCCGGGGGTGCGGCGGAGAGGCGGCGATCACCCCGGTCGTGGGAGGAGGCCCCCTCCTCTTTCCAAGGCTACTCCTGTCCCTGGTAACCCCGCCCGTCCGGGACCCCCGCTTCAGTTACCGCAGCTGGCAGGTCCCGGGACCTGGCTGTATTCTTGGCCCGCCGCGCTCCCGGCTTGCATTTCCAGAAGTGCGTGCGGGGACCGCCCGTTTCTTGCAGCGGGCAGCGAGGGGAGTGTCCTTCGCCCCTTCCACGGCCGGGGCCTAGGAAGTCTAGCCCCGGGTCCGCCACTCACCAGGAGGACCGACTTCTCTGGTTCGCACTCTAGCACCTGCTTTGGGCAGGCTACCTCCTCCGGTGGCCTGAGTTCTTTTCATGGTAAAACTAAGGGGCTGGGCTTGACCTGTGGGTCCCAGCTTTCTTGCCCAGAACTCTAGGTGGTATGGTCGAACCTCGTGTTTGTAATATTGCAAGCACCATTTAATTAGTGCCATTTAATTAATGCGTAAGATGATGTCATGTCTGGGGTTTGTTTTAAAATACCAATTTTATTTTTATTTTTAATTTTTATGTATTTATTCTTTTTGAGACGGAGTCTCACTCTGTCGCCCAGGCTGGAGTACAGTGATGCGATCTCACCTCACTGCAACCTCCGCCTCCCTGGTTCAAGCGATACTCCTGCCTCAGCCTCCAGAAGAACTGGAATTATAGGCGTCCACCACCATGCCCGGTTAATTTTTGTGTTTTTAGTAGAGACGGGGTTTCGCTGTGTTGGCCAGGGTGTTCTCCAACTGCTGACCTCAGGTGATCCGCCGGCCTCGGCTTCCTAAAACATTGGGATTACAAGCATGAGTCACTACGCCCGACCTTAGAAAGATTTTTTAAAAAGGTCGATAGATTAAACAAGATAAGCCACGTTGATAGTTGAAGCTGGGCGTAGACACACGAGGATCCGTTATAAGAGTTTCCTTACTTTTTTTAGTCCTTGATGGTTTTTTAAAAATTTAAAAAAATAAAAAAAAGTTTCTCTCCGGGTACTGGCGCTCCCCATTCCTCCTCAAGGGTTGAACTCCACTTCCTAGTTATGGGGCTGTTCTCCACCTGGAGGACACCATCTGGTTACCTTGTCACTTTTGGAACCGAAATATCCTTGTGGGGAAGGAAAGGCTTAAAAGGGATTGAGCTGAATCCCACCTGGAGCGTCTGCCTCTGGGATTTTCCTTTGAAGGTGTGGGTTTTGGTTTATTAAGAGTGATGTGTACCTGTTCCAGTCCCTCCTCTCATGCCCGAGAGTTCACCATGACAAATAAATTAATGACAGAGAGGACAAACTTGTCTCTGAGAGGTCCTGGTGACCTGGAAGGGCCTTCTCCTTGGCACATTAGCAGGAATTAATTTGACTGATGACTACTGCGACCTTGAGCTGGAGGGAGCTATATACATTATATATAGGCTCAGGAGCAGTCAGTGCTGCGTGTGTGTGGGGCAGTCTGGGCTCTCTATGGAGGCCAAAGTACACCCCTGTCTCCAGTCTCTCATCTTATATCATAACTGAAATCCTGTCGTTAGTGTCACTCCCTTGGATTAAGGTTGTTAACAGGCCAGTACAGCAAGTTTCCCGGATTCTAATGCGTTTTATCCCTTACAAGGGAAAGGAGTGGTGGGATATTTCTTAGGGGGTCTGAGGACCCCAGGAATTGTGTACCTTGCATAAACAGTTTGCTTTTGAATTTCTTTAAGAAATATCAGTTGTTTAAACCATCCACAAAGGGTGAAGTTTTAGATCTTGCCAAGAGTGATTACTCAGGGTGTTAATTTGGTGTGATGAGGAGCATAAGATCATCAACGTGGCAGCTGAAGGGTTGTAATAGTGCCTTTATGGGTGTGGCCTCATTTTCTTGCCTTGGCTGGGAGCCACTAATAATGTAAGCAGGAAATTGTTTCTACCAGTCACAGTGAACAGAACTAACTTCCCAGGTACAGGGGTCAGTAGATCTGTACCTATATGGCTTGAGAACTTCCGGGAACACACAGACATTGACTGTCTCACCCTCTGAGTTCAACAAGGACTCATGAACCTACCCTATGTGATAGACACTCCTAGTTGTCTACAAAAATTCACTCCCCCATTCATCCAAAATAATTGGATTGTAGCTAGTCTCATGGTTGCCCCATCAAAGACTACATTTCCCAGCCTTCCTTCTAAGTAGCTGAACCATGTGACTTGGTGGATGGTGGAGGGAGGTGTCTTGGTGAGTTCAGCGTGCTATAACAAAAATACCATAGGTTGGATGACTTAAACAGCAAGTATGTATTTCTCACAGTCTGGAGGTTGGGAGGTCCAAGATCAAGGCCCAGGTAGATCTGGTGTCTGGTGAGGAGCTATTTCCTGTTTGCAGAAGGCTGCTTTGTCCTTATATCTTCACCTGGCAGATAGATGGGGGTGGAGTGGGGGTAGGATTCATGTCTTTTCTTATAGGAGCACTAATCCCACCGTGTGGGCTCCAGTCTCATAACGTAATTACCTTTCAAAGACCCATCCCCAAATACCATCACGTTGAGGCCTAAGGGTTCATTTGAGTGTATGAATTTTGGAGGGATACCTTCAGTCTGTAGCAACAGGTGAGATATGCTACTTTCTAGGTCAGGGTCTTAAAAAAACTTTAGGAGTGTGTTCCTGCATGCTTTTTCTTCCTCTTCCCATAAACTAGAAACCAAATAAATCTAAAACCCAGTCTTGACCATGAGGACAAGGACAGTGTCTTAGGGGTTGTGGAGGAATGTGATGGAAAGTGCCAAGGTCTCTGATTCTGTGGAGCAGAGCCACCTGCCAGTGTGGACTGCAGGAAATCAACTTAGGTTCCTGAATACCTACACAGTTCTAAAGGGGTCTCTTTGCTACAGCAGCAAGGCCTTTATCCACATGCCTACTGGAATGTAATTTCCTCCTCACACACATATTTTCTAGGCACAATTCAGAAGCTATGAAATTGTTTAGTCTAATCTCTCTGTTCTTGTCTCTCTCTTTTGCTTTCTCTCTTGCAGTTTCCCATCCATCCATCCATTCATCCATCCATCAATCATCCATCCATCCATTCATCAATCATCCATCCATCCATCCACCATCCATCCATCCATCCATCCATCATCTATCCATCCACCATCCATCCATCTATCCGTCCATCCATCTATCAATCATCCATCCATCCATCCATCCATTCATCAATCATCCATCCATCCATCCATCCATCATCCATCCATCCACCATCCATCCATCCATCCATCATCTATCCATCCACCATCCATCAATCATCCATCCATCCATCCATCCATCCACCATCCATCCATCCATCCATCCATTCATCCATCATCTATCCATCCACCATCCATCCATCTATCCATCCATCCATCAATCATCCATCCTTCCATCCATCCTTCCATCCATCCATCCATCCATCCATCCATCCATCCATCTGTCCATCCTGTCCTTATCCAGGATCTAGCACAATGCCTGCCACAGTAGGTGCCTAGTACCTCTTTGTGGAATGAATGGAAGTCAGATAGTGGGTAGGAATGCCTGGAAATCGGGGCCAATTTAAGAACTTTTAACCCTAATCCCTGAAAAGTTTGTAAGGCTTCTCATTCATCCCACATATAATTCAAAATAAAAATTAATATGTAACTACAAAATACATGTAAGCAGAGCAAAAATCTTTTTTTTCCTCATTATTACTGGAATGCTCTTTTAAAAACAGTAAGTTATTTCCAGAAAAAAAAGTATGTCTTCCTTTGCTAGTACTTGTGGCAGATATTACCAATCATCTATTTCAGGAGTTGGCAACATTTTCTGTAAAAGGCCAGAGAGTAAATGTTTTAGACTCTGTGGGCCATATAGTATCTGTTGAAGCTACTCAACACTGCTATTAAAGTATTGTAATGGGTGCAGCTGCATTTCAATAACACTTTGTTTAGAAAAAGGAGGGATGGAGAGAAGTTGGTTAATGGGTACAAAAATACAGTTAGATAGAAGGACTAAGTTTTAGTATTAAATAGTACAGTAGAGGAATTATACTTAACAAGAATTTATTGTATATTTCAAAATAGCTAGAAGAGAAGAATTGTAATGCTCCTAACACAAAAGATAGGTAATGTTCGAGGTAATGGCTATCCCAATTACTCTGATTTAATCATTACACATTATATATACATGTATCAAAATATCACGTGTAACTGAAAGGACAATTATGATATATCAATAATTTAAAAAATAAGTAGTGGGCCAGATTTGGTTCACTGGTTGTATTGCTATTTGTTTTTTGCTATTTGTATTGTTATTTGTAAACCTCTGGTTTACTCCATATTAAGTTATTCTTCTTGGCCGAGCATGGTGGCTCATGCCTATAATCCCAGCACTTTGGGAGGCTGAGGTGGGCAGATCACTTGAGGGCAGGAGTTTGAAACCAGCCTGGCAGACATGGTGAAACCCCATCTCTGTTAAAAAAACAAAAATTAGCTCAGCGTGGTGGCGCGTGCCTCTAGTCCCAGCTGCTTGGGAGGCTGAGATAGGAAAACTGCTTGAGCCTGGGAGGTGGAGGTTGTAGTGAGCTGAGATTGTGCCACTGCACTCCAGCCTGGGCGACAGAGTGAGACTGTGTCAAAACAAACAATTCTTCCTTTTTACTAACTTACCCATGTTTTGTTTGTAAGTCAACTTGTCAACATGTTTCACCTCAAACTGGTTACTTGCAGCTAGAGGTAACCATGTGACATAATTTTGGCCAGTGAGTAGTAAGCTGAGGATTTCTGGGAGTTTTTTTTTTTTCCATAGGTAGAGAATTTTTTCCTTTTTTCCCCCCCTTATTTGTTCTGCCTATAATGCAGAACCAATGTCTGGAGAGGCAGCAGTCATCTTGTGGCCATGAGGCAAAAGCTGTAAAGAGGAAAACCCAGGATGGCAGAATAGAAGCTTGGAGCTGTCCTGAGTCCTTTAGAACTTGACTACGCCACCCTCCCAGCTCTGGGCTGCCTAAGCCTTATTGTAGGAGATGAATAATCCCTATCAGTTTAAACCTCTCTAGGGTAGTATGCTGTTTTTGGCTGTCAAGGAAAGTCCTAATGCAAACAGTGCTCTGTCGGGCAATTCAGTGTTGCTAGAACTCATGTTGAAGGTTCCAGAAAGGCTTGGGACTGGGTGGTTTCCAGCAATGCAGAGGATTCAGTTGTCAGAGAGTGAACCCATATTGATGAGCTGAAGGTGGGGTGGGGAATTCCAAAGGCCCGACAAGGATTGGGAATGGGAGAGTC